ATTATGAGAGAATACTATGAAAAATTATATGAAAATAAAATGGATAACCTAGAAAAGGACAACTTTCTAGAAAAATACTACCATCCAAGGTTGACCCAGAAAGAAACAGAAAATTTCAAGAGACCAATTACCAGCAAAGAAATTGAATCAGTAATCAAAACCTACCTAAGAAGAAAACCCCTGCACCAGATGGTTTCAGTGCTGAATTTTATCAAACATTTAGCGAAGACCTAACACCCATCCTCCTTAATGTTTTCCAAACAGTAGACAGGAGGGAATACTTCCAAACTAATTATATGAAGCCATCATCACTCTAATACCAAAACCAGGCAAAGACCCCACAAAATAAGAAAATTACAGACCAATATCCCTGATGAACATAGATGCAAAAGTACTCAACAAAATATTAACAAAACGAATTCAAAAACACATCAAGAGGATCATACACCATGAACAAGTGGGATTCATCCCAGGGATGTAAGGATGGTACAATATTTGAAAATCCATCAACATCATCCACCACATCAACAAAAACAAGAACAAAAACCACATGATTATCCCCATAGATGCTGAAAATGCATGCGACAAATTCCAACATCCACTCATAATAAAAACTGTCAACAAAATGGATATAGAGGGCAAATACTTCAACATAATAAATGCCACATATGACAAGCCCACAGTCAACATCATAGTTAACAGTGAGAAGCTGAGCGCTTTCACCTATGATTGGGAACAAGACAGGGATGCCCACTCTCCCTACTGTTATTCAACATAGTACTGGAGGAACTTGCCATGGCAATCAGACAAAACAAAGAAATATAAGGCATCCATATTGGTAAAGAAGAAGTAAGACTGTCAATATTTGCAGATGACAGGATATTGTATATAAAAAACTGTAATGACTACACTCCAAAACTACTATAACTAATACCGGAATTCAGCAAACTTGAAGGATACAAAATTAATACACAGAAATCTGTGGCTTTCCCATACACTAACGATGAACTTGCAGTGAGAGAAATCAAGAAAACAATTCCATTCACAATTGCATCAAAAAGAATAAAATATTTAGGAATAAACCTAACCAGGGAAGTGAGAGACCTATACCCTGAAAACTACAAGACACTCTTAAGAGAAATTAAACAAGACATGAACAAATGGAAACTCATCCCATGCTCTTGGCTAGGAAGAATTAATATTGTCAAAATGGCCATTCTGCCTAAAGCAATCTGCACATTCAATGCAGTCCCTATCAAAATTCCAATAGCATTCTTCAACGAACTGGAACAAATCGTTCTAAAATTCAAATGGAACCACAAAAGACCACGAAGAGCCAAAGCAACTCTTAGAAGAAAAATAAATCAGGGGGGATCTCACCTCCTAACTTCAAGCTCTAATACAAAGCCACAGTAATCAAGACAATTTGGTAGTTGCACAAAAACAGATTCACAGACCAGTGGAATAGAATAGAGAGTCCAAATATTAACCCAAACATACATGATCAATTAATATATGATACAGGAGCCATGGATATACAATGGGGAAATGACAGCCTCTTCAACAGCTGATGTTGGTAAAACTGAACAGCTACATGTGAGAGAATGAAACTGGATCATTGTCTAAACCCATACACAAAATTATACTCCAAATGGTTCAAAGACCTGAATCTAAGTCATGAAACCATAAAACGCTTAGAAAAAAACATAGGCAAAAATCTCTTGGACATAAACATGAGCAACTTCTTCATGAACATATTTGCCTGGGCAAGGGAAACAAAAGCCAAAATGAACAAGTGCGACTAAATCAAACTAAAGAGCTTCTGTACAGCAAGGACACCATCAGTAGAACAAACACACATCCTACAGTATGGGAGAATATATTCGTAAATGACATATCTGACAAGGGGTTGACATCCAAATTATATAAAGAGCTCATACACCTCAACAAACAAAAAGCAAATTAGCCAATTAATAAATGGGCAGAGGAGCTGAACAGACACTTCTCCAAAGAAGAAATTCAGATGGTCAACAGGCACATGAAAAGATGCTCCACATTGCTAATCAGCAGAGAAATACAAATTAAAACCACAATGAGATGTCATCTCACACCAGTTAGGATGGCCACCATCAAAAAGATCATGAAAACTCTCAACCTGCTGGGCAGAGTGAACCCACCATTTGTCTACCTATCATTTCTCTGACGAGTAAGCTCTGTGCAATCCTTCCCCCTTTAGCAGCCCTCTTGCTAAGGGCTTCTTGTTAGGAAGTTTCTCAGACTGCCTGCTGTTTTCTTGTTGCAGAGAAGCTGGATGTGGATCCCTGCTTTCCACAAGTGACTGGAGTCTCAGTCTCTCCAGGAATTCTGCCTTTCTTAGCTTTCCAACCCCCTAACCATGAGATTACCATGCAAGCACCATGAAATGTAGGTTTGTGCTTCCAGAGCAGATCTCCAGAGTTAGGTATTCAGCACTCCCAGGCTTCCACTCCCTCCCCGCTCCATTTCTCTTCCTCCCACCAGTGAGCTGGGGTGGGGGAAGAGCTTGGGTCCCATCGAGCCACAGGATTGGTAGATTACTCTGTTCAGTGAGGTCTGCTCTTTTCTCCAGGTGATTGCAGTCTGGTGCAGTCCTTGTTCCTGTTGCTCTTTCAGGATTAGTTGTATTAATTATATTTTCATATTTTATGTGGTTTTAGGAGGAAGCCTCTGTCTCACCTCTCATGCCACCATCTTTAATCTAGACCTTATAGTTTAAATAGCATTTAGATTATGCATGAAATCATAGCACAATTCCATGAATGTTAAAATATATATATATATTATAACAAAAGCAAACAAACAAGCAAAAGCTAATGATGAATTTGACTTGTTTTCAACAGCAAAATCTATGTACTTTTGGAACATCTGTAACTCAAAACCAGTTAATAGCATTTATTATATACAACTCATTTTGTTCTCAAGAAAACCCTCATTATTCCTTGTGGGGAGGGTAGAGGGAAAACTGATGACCAAAGATAGTAAAGTCACACTCCCATTAAGTGGCAGAGAAGGTCTCAAACTCAAGACTGCAAGTTCTGAGTCTATTTTCTTTTTATTATATTTTACTTATTTATTTATTTCTTTTATTTATTAATTTTGTTATCATTAATCTACAATTACATGAAGAACATTATATTTACTAAGCTCCCCCCTTCACCAAGTTCCCACACACACACACCATTACTGTCACTGTCCATCAGCATAGTAAGATGCTGTAAAATCACTACTTGTCTTCCCTGTGTTGCATAGCCTGCCCCATGACCCCCCACACATTACAAATGCTAATCATAAAGCCCCCTTCCTTTTTCCCCACCCTTATCCCTGCCTTCTCACCCATCCTGCCCACTTCCTTTCCCTTTGGTAACTGTTAGTCCATTCTTGGGTTCTGTGAGTCTGCTGCTGTTTTGTTCAGTTTTTCTTTGTTTTTATACTCCACATATGAGTGAAATCATTTGGTACTTGCCTTTCTCCACCTGGCTTTTTTCATTGAGCATAATACTCTCTAGCTCCATCCATGTTGTTGTAAATAGTAGGATTTGTTTTCTTCTTACTGAATAATATTCCATTGTGTATATGTACCACATCTTCTTTATCCATTCATCTACTGATGGCCACTTAGGTTGCTTCCATTTCTTGGCTATTGTAAATAGTGCTACAATAAAGATAGAGGTGCATCTTTCTTTTTCAAACCGGGCTGCTGCATTCTTAGGGTAAATTCCTAGAAGTGGAGTTACTGGGTCAAATGGTATGTCTATTTTGAGATTTTTGAGGAACCTCCATTCTGCTTTCCACAATGGTTGAACTAATTTACATTCCCACCAGCAGTGTAGGAGGGTTCCCCGTTTTCCACAACCTCACCAACACTTGTTGTTGTTTGTCTTTTCAATGATGGCGATCCTTACTGGTGTGAGGTGATATCTCATTGTGGTTTGAATTTGCATTTCTGATGACTAGTTATGTGGAGCATCTTTTCATGTGTCTGTTGGCCATCTGAATTTCATCTCTGGAGAACTGTCTGGGTCCCACTGAATCATGTCTTTGCCACTTTCCCTTTTCTGTGAGGTCTTCTCTTCTTCCCAGATGTAGGCAATCTGTTCTGCAGTCTTCAGGTCATTTTCAGGATTAGTTGTATTTGCTGTATTTTTGTTTTATGTGACTTTGGGAGGAGGTTTCTGCCTTGCTTTTTACACTGCCATCTTTTCCCCAGAATCCTGAGAGGTTCCTATGTTATGATAAAAGACAAAGTCCTTAAAAACAAGATCTGGCCTCCTGCTGTCTTTTGTTAACCTCATCTTCTGCCAGTGTTTCAGTGTCCTCCAGGTACCTGGCAGCCTAACCACTCACTGAGTACATTAGCTATGCTCTCTCTCAGACCCTCTGTACTCTGTGTGAAATGCTTTCTGCCTGGATATTTACCAGAGATGGATTCTTCACTTCTCTTAAATATGCTAAAAAACACCTTAGGAGAGATGATTTCCCTCATGGTCTATTATATATAGCACCTTTTAGTTCACTTCCCCTCCTTCATTTTCTCCATAGTACCCATCTCCATTTTACATACTACCTAGCCATTTGCTTGTTAAGTCTGCTCAGCCACTAGAAGATAAATGCAGGAGGGGAGAAACAGTTTTGCTCACTGCTGCATCCCACCGTCTAGCACAGTGCCTGACACATGATGGGCTGAGATATTTGTTGGATGATGGAACTAGGAAATGTACTGAAGTAACTCAGAATCCAGGACTCTCAGGGCCTGAGACAGTCTCCAGTTCCAGTGCAACCCGACCCGGGTTGACTCTGCCACTACTTGCAGGGTAGAATGTTACACTCTGGGATATAAGATAAACTTCCCCAGCAGCTGCCAAGAGGGACCAAGAAACCCAGCCTTCAAGTGTAAAGAACCTAGTGTCCATGGGATAACTTCCAATAAGAGACAAGAGGCAGCAGATACATTCCATCCCTGTCTTCCCCACCTCCACTTAATGGACTGCCCCTGGGTAGTCCTGCAAGGCCTTTCTAAAAAAATGTTCTACATAAATGAACAAACAGTTGGGTTTTCTTCAGGCCAGCCTGATTAAACTAACTTGATTTCCCTCCACTCCTGCATGACTTACCTTTTTTCCTTTTCTCTTGCTTCCCTGGGGTTGCATCTCCCAGTATAAGCTTTTCCTCAGATTCTGTTTTATATAGTCTATGCAAGCCTGTAAAAAACTTTTCTCCCCAGTGATCCTTTATTAAATCCCAGGAAAATAATTCTGGTTGGTTTTATTTACATTATATGCAAACCCTTGAATTAAGTACAGTTTCCAAGGAAATGCAGTTGGTCAGAGCAGGAGCACATTCTCCACCCATAACCAGAGTGTGCAGTTTGCTGAGGGAAGGGAAATGAGAACACATGCTGGGTAAGCAGGAACAATAGCTACCTCAGTTTTCTACAGAGGAGCAGGGGTCACAGGATCAACACGCAAGTCTCGGGCTTTGCTGGTTTGGATAAGGCTTACTTCCAGTAGTCTGCAAAGGAACTTAGAACAGGCTTGTTAAAAGGTAATTTAAAAAAAAAAAAGGTAAAATCATGACTCACACAAATATAAAATGAACACACATGTTAAAACATGTTGCTTAGCCCATTATTGAGGGAACCAAAAAGATGTTACCACTAGTTAAAAGAAGTCAGAGGACACCTTTACTCAGGCTCACTCCACACTCTGCCTCTTACCAATGTGAGTCATCCCTAGGGGACACGGGTTAGGGGAGTGGTTTGGAGGAACAGGGACAGTTTCTTCATCTACTCTTTGCATTGGTTCCTAGCTGCTGTTATGTCCTTTGCTCTTAAAAGCTTTTCCCCACCTTCTGCTCCCACCTTGTCCAAAGAGTGTGCATCACAGGTTGGAAGCAATATGAAGAGGTGGGAGGCAGCCGTGATGGTCTGGGGGCAGGGGCCTGAACAGTGGAGGCAGCCATGGGAAAAGGACAGAAGGAAGCTTGGAAGAGACCTGCTAGAGGTGACCTCTCTGTCCAGCCATCCAGGATATGACAGCTAGTTGGGTGGGTGTGCAAAGTAAGGAGAGATGGGTAATTCTAGAGCTCTTAACCTTTGCCAGCATTAACCAGAGGGAGAAGGAACATTTTGGGGAGGAAAACAGACCCTCCCTAAATGGGGCAGGTGGATGGGGGTTTTAATCATGTGACATGCTGGCAATTCTTCCTCATGGAGCCTCTCATGGGATGTCAGAATGAAAGGGCTGGAGATGAGGGATTGGGTGGAGTCCCTGGGAATGTGGGGAACTCATGAGGGGCCCACAGAGAATGTGTGCTGTGGGAGCACCAGAATCTCTTATAAAACTGTTCGTCCACACAGGGCACAGTGGCACAGAATCTGTCTTTCACTTGGGCTCCTCCCAAGACATCCCCATCTCTGTTCAGCAGGAGAACCTCAGGGACCCTTCCCAATCCAGTGACATTCAAATGTTTTGATTGCTACCCTGCCTGACACTTCCCTTCTCAGCAACTCACTCCAAAATGCAGGCAAGTTGCCTGCTGGTGTCCAGAGCTGATTCTGCATCGTCCTGCCTGGGTCCAGATCCCTTTTCTGTCATGCACAGCACGGTGTGTCCATCCTCTGCCTCTCCGCCCTGGGGTGGATGGCACTGCCCTGATTCCTTCTACCTCCAGCTTCCTGGTTCTGGGGGAGGCCCTGGTAGACCAGAGGGAGGACAAGAGACAGGGTACTGTGTCTGCTCCCTCCCTGCTTTGGCACCGTGTCCCTGGTAGTGGCCATCCCTCTGTGCCCACAGCTTCTCTGGAGGTCCCTCACCTGGACTCCAGACACACATTCCTTCCTTTGCTTCTAGGGATGCTAGAAACTAGGGGATGGCACAGGCTCCAGCTGTTGCTGGCACCCGGGGTGTCACTGTCCCCTGCCACACCTCTGTAAACTGTTCCTGTACTAAACTCTGTGCTTCTTGCCAGGGACCCTACTGACATTGCTGGTGATCAGAGCGTCAGCATGCCTGATTTGTGTTTTATTTACTAGATCAGGCCAACATTTCGAGCTTAACACTGCTTAGTAACAACAGAAGCACAAATACTTTCTTTATTCATTAAATTTCCACACTACAGAAGGAGCCAGTGCTGGAAAGGGTTTTGTACTTGACACTCCAACTCACACAGCATATTTCAAAGCATCCAGGACATAAGTGACATGCCATCTTTGTCTCCTAGGTTAAGACCATATACTGTTTCCCCATGCGTGTCTTCCTTTCCAGACAAATCTTCCTAGGCACACCTCTCCCCCCATCAGGTTTCTAAATCCTACCCACCCTTGGAGGCGTGGCTCAAATACCATACTCCCCCCACCTCTGAACTTCTCCCAGTTATTCTAGCTTCCTGCTACTAGCAGGTGCTGCGTCCTGTAGGTCTTACTCCCCCTGCTGGAGTCCACTCTTAAAAGGGCCAGGTCTCACTCACGGTGGATTCCTTAGCACACCCAGCTCGGTGCCTTTTATGTAACAGTCAATAATAGGTTGTCTGCTGGAGAGATCTGTGAGCTGCTTCAGCTGAGATTAAACAGCTGGATTTCTCGTTTCCTGTTATGTGTCTCCCTGGCTCCTTTTCCTCCCTTCTCTGTCACTTAACCTGAGTCACCAGCTTCATCCTCCCACCTTCCTCTCCCTTCTGCCGGCCTCTGTTCTGACCAAGGCTTCCTAGCTCCTACAACCACAAGGGCCAGAATTAAGAAGACAGCCCCTCATGTCCAACTCCTTGGACAGCTGTAGAAAATGATGCTCAGAGCCCTCAGCAGCTCACCCAGGAAACTGGGTCCCAAGGGCAGGATGTTGACCTTGGTTCATGGCACCCATACCAGGGATTTTGACCTGCGTCTTCCTACCTCCCCATGTGTACCTCAGGCCTGCCACTCCCAGTGACCCCAAGTCCCCTTCACTGGGGCCCACTTAGACTCATTCCTGGGCCTTTGCTTATTCTGGCCCCCTCCCTAGGCCTTCCCCACCAACCCGGGGCCAACCTGCTCTCCCAGAGCTGACCCGTGAGGCCCCATCAGTGTCCCTTCCACATGGATCTTGCTTCTTCCTCTTCACACACCTCTGTGGTTTTTTTTACACAGCTTGTCCTCTAGTGTCCTTCAGTCATTTGTGTCTACATGTGTGTGCACTGTGTCTTCAAGGACACATGAGGCCCTCACAGGAATCCACCCTAGTCTTGTTTGGCTGGCAGCATGTGGCACAGAGCAGGGCTGATGACAAGGGCTCAGCGTTCTTAGCTGGGTCCCTGAGTGTTTCAGGTCCCTGAGACTTTGAGCCCATCAATACTGGGCTCACCAGGGAGGCCAGCTGGCGTTTCTTCCTGGCCTGGGTGGTCTGCTGAAAGATGAGGTGCGAGTTCCAGCCAAAGGCCTTCCTGTGCTGGCTGTGGCTCTGCCGGGGCCCCAGGAGGGGGCAGCTGCAGGTGAAGGCCTTCCCGCACTGGCACTTTAGGGCCTCTAGCCCATGAGGCTCTGCCGATGTAAAGGGAGGTAGAGCTTGGGCTGAAGGTCCTGCCACACTGGGGGCCAATGTACAGCTTCTTGCCTGTGTGCACACCCTGCTGCACGATGAGGCTTGAGCCCTGGCTGTGGCCTTACCACACTGGCCACAGACATAGGGTTCTCCCATGTGCACCCTCAGATGCCGGATCAGGTGGAGCTGCAAGTAAAGGACTTCCTGCACTCCCTGCACCCACATGGCTTCTCCCTGGTGTGGATTCCCTGCTGGACGACAAGGGTGGAGCTCTTGCCACAATCAGTACACAAGCAGGGGGTTTTGGTGCTGAGGCGGGCGCCTCCATCAAGTTTCATACAGTCCTGGCCTCTCTCCTGATCCATGTTTCTTTTCTTTTGGTGCCTGGCATGTCTCTCCTCACTTGCTTGTCTGCAAGCCATTCAGATTGTTCTACTTTCCCACTCCCCCTTCTCTGACTTCCCAGCCATCTGGAATTTTACCCTGGATTCTTCCAGAGAATTCTCTCAGATTCACTTGTTCCAGAATCAAATCCATCTTTTTAATGTTGGTCTCAAAATCTGCACAATACATAGAAAATGAAAACAAATAATATATAAAAAAACAAATAAAAATAGAGTCATCTTTATATTATGGATAGGAAACATGAGACTATATTGAGATTTGAGGAAACTCAGTTCTCTGAAAGAGGCAAGACGGCTGAAAAGTACAGTATAGGGAATATAGTCAGTAATGGGATTATCTTTGCAGATGGTAACTACTTACTGTGAGGAGCATTTTGTAATGTATATAATTATTGAATAACTATGTTGTGATTCAACCAATAGGATACTGTACATTAACCATAATAAAAAAATAAAGGCAATATAGCAGTGGGGCCAAGAGTACAGTCTCTGGGACCAGACAGCCGGAGGCTGAATCCTGCCTCTGCCACAGCAGTTACTTGACCTCTTTGTCCCTCAGTTTTCCTATCCGAGTTACTACTAGGACCTATTTTATGGTAATGTTGTAAGAAATAGATTAATGTGCATAAAGTATTTAGCTAGGTGTTAGCTATTAGTATAATAATCTGCTCAGTTGAGAAATAAGATATGGGGAGAGCAATATATCATCTTTATTACTGAAAAGCTGATATTGGTGAATGTGGCCTATAGCTGCAGGCAGGTGGGGTCACTAACACCTGAATCCCAGGATGAGAGCACCAAGTGCCCAGGGACTGCTGTGGGAGCATTAAGCAGCCTGAGCTACCACAGGTTTGCTCCTATAACACTGAAGAGAAGAGGAACAGGCAGACACACGGTCTGTGTGGATACTGGAACCCAAGGGAGAGGAGGGAGGACTGGCTTTCTCAGAGTCCATTTCTTTCCACTCATAGTTAAATCCAATCCCCTTTTGTCCTGGGGCAATAGTGTGGGGCCAGAGAGAGGTCACAAGTGTTACACCAGTGAGCTTCCTGAAATATCAGGAGTCAGGAAACAGAGGACTTAAACTCAAATTTTATAAATGTGTACCATGTTTTCAGTATGGGTAGAGAAAACAGAAAAGAAAGAGCAGTAAAGGAAAGCATGCATTCTGGGAAAGGGGCAGGGATGGCACCATCACTAGACATTTGCCCAGGGAGGGCACGCCTACAGATGTAAAGACTGCCAAGCCAGGAGGAGATACACAGGGAGTCTTGGGAACTCCAGAGCAGCAAGTAGGGTGGCTGGAGAAAGGCCCAGATTTGGACAGAGGGGTTCTGGGAGTTAAGGGGCTTGACCGAGAGGATGCAGGATGAGAATTCCTGAGAGAGCTCAGGCATCTATGAGATAAAGGAGAAGAGGGGAGAACAACAGAGCTGCCTGCAGGGAAGGGTGTGGACGGCCTGCTGTGGGCAAGGCCAGTGCTGAGCTTGGCAGTGGGGAAGGTAGACCATTATGGATCCCCTTGCAGCCCATCAGATTAGTCTAGGCGGTAAAAGAGAGCAGAGCAGCTGCCCCTCCAAAGTGGTGGTTGGGGGGGACACACACATGCCCCTTTCCACCCAAAGCTACAGGAAATAAGAGCAGGAAAGGAGGACCATGTTTGAGGAGGTCCAGAAGGGCGTGCGTGCGTGCGTGTGTGTGTGTGTGTGCACGCGCCTGTCTGGTCTGTCTGTAAGTGCTACAGCAGCTCCTTAGCAGAGTTGTCAAGGTTCCACAGGGTGTGGGAGAGCCGGGAGCCAGGAAGGGGAAGAGTTGGCCCCACACTGGGCAAAAGTGTTACCTTATCAACCTGTTTTTGAGCACATTCCTGTAGGGCAGAGAACTGTACTGAGGGTAGAGATGGCCAGGGTCTGCCTCAGTCCAGCACTAGCCCCCAGTCTAAGCTTATCTCCCATTTCCCAACTCCCTCCTCAGCTTCCCTGAGCTTTCTGGTCATACACTCCCCAAGAAAGGTTTCCTGCCTCTGTGTCTTTCATTTTCCTCCTGGCCTGGAGTACCCAATCCTGTCCTCACCTTAACTGCTCATCCACCTACCCCTCCCCCGCTGGCCACCCATCCTCTGGGCCTGGTTCTGCACCTCCCTCAGAAGTCTCTGTCCACTCCTCCCACAGCTCCCAGTGAGTGACTGCATCCCTCCTCTATCCCGACCACCTCTGCCATTCATCCTCACTACCTCGGCAATGACCTCATATTGGTGAATTAGATTTTTCTTCCCACATGTCCATCTTCCCAAGTAGGCTAGGGTTTCTGCAGGACAATAGCTGACTCCTATTATTATACCTGTAGCCTTCTTAATCTGATGCACTTGTGCAAGTCGCTATGAGGACAGGATGCTGGGTGGCACAGTCCCTGCCCTCAGATGTGACAGGAGGTAAAGGGTGCTTTTGTCCTGCCTCCTTTGAGGCCCAGAAAACTCACTACTAGTGCATATCTGGCTAAATGCCCAGAAAGGCTCTGAATGATGGGCCCTGGAGTGAAAGTAATCCTGAGTACTACTGTGTCTGCCAGACAGCTACAGCTAACCAAGGGATGAGATTTGCTGGAGCGGTTCTTTGTTTATTGGGCTATTAGAAAGGATTTGGGACCGAGGCCCAGGAAAGCAGCCTGGTGGTAAACACAGCCTTGTGGCCCCTGGCCTGGCTGGCATTTGGAGCCGACCTGCTCACAGAGCACCGGGCCACATTCTCTCTGGTGCCCTCCTCCACTGACAGTGCAGCATACTGGTGTAATTCTCAGAGATACCCACCAACTGACTAGGGGAAACAGCCGTTCCCAAGACACACAGAGCCTGTCTGGTCACCTTGGGGGTAAGTCAAGTGCTGAAGCCTGGGTCCTAAGAGGCCCACTCTGCTGAGAAGATTGGTATCACCTACATCGCAGAAGAGGGGAGGCCAAGGCTAGTGGGAAGCAGCCTTACCCAGCCTGGCGGAGGCCACTAGCTTTGGCCCCAGTCGTGCTTCCCCAGCAGTGGCCCTAGGGGCAGGATCCAGATAGGTCCCAGGAGGCAGGGGGCCTCAGGGCCTAAAGTCAGAGGCAGCCCTGGGTGGCTTTCTCATCCCAGATATCATGCTATTGTTGTCGGGATTGGTCTGAGACCTGCAAAGAAATGTTAGAGAAAGTCCATAGCTGACCTTAGGAAGGGAAGCTAAAGAGGGTCAAAGTGCCTTTTCCCTGTCTCCTGGCTGATGGACAGTGGGGAGAACCCATAACAAGTGCAAGGACAACTTTCTGGGGAGGTTTGGGGCTGGAAGGTACAAAAGGCATATACCAAAGAGGCCCCTCCAGCAGGGGATGCTAGCCCTACACAGCTCTTGGTGCACCCCTCCCAAAGAGTATACCCTCTCTTCTTGGACGGGGACTCAGCCTAGTTAATGGTCATGGCAGTACCACATGACAGAACAGTTTTCACCCTGTCCTAGCCAGCTGCCTTTGATGCATCCTGTGAGGCTGGCAGGGTGGGAAATGCTGCTTCATTTGACAGGTAAGGAAACTGATTTGGAGTTTTGACTTCCCTGAGGTGAGGTGACCCAACTAGTCAAGAGGCAGAACAGCTCCTGAAAGATCCCCAATGGGCTGCCTGGACACTGAGTTAATAAGAAGGGAGCCCAGCACACCACCTGTGCTTATATATCTAAGGGTCCAGGTCTCATGAGGAAACAAGAATGACTTGTAAGAGGCCAGAAGATGAGTCCCACCCCTACCTGGAAACCCTCGGTCCTTTTACTGCCCTCTGCTAGGGCCAGCCTATCTTCCACCTCTCCCACTAGGCTGTGGCCCACTGTACCCCACTGGGGAATGCCTGCCCTCAGCCCTGCTGCTGGAGGTCCCAAGGCTAGAGCAATGGGCCCAGGATTCCTCCTCCTCAGGCTCACAAGTCTTGTCCTCCTTTGTGTGCGTCAAATTCTCACTCGTCCCCAAGTGATGGCACAGCAGTCCTGATTGGTCCTGAGGATGGCTTCTTTGGGCTCACAGAGTGTCACCTGGAGGGATGCAAACACTTCATCAGAGACTGGTCCATCTCAGGGGGGCCATACACTCCTGAAGGAGGTAGGGCCAGCCTTGGGACCAGACCCTCTGTGAACACAGCTCATGACAGTGTTGCCCATCGTTCAAAGCCCGGCAGGATGGAAGGAAGGAAAGGTGCTCTTACCCCAACGTCTAGAAGCCACCCCAGTCCCCACAGCTGTTTGGGACAAGTGCCCACCCATCCTACTCCTGCTTCAGGTCCAGACCCTGCCAGACTTACTTCCTGAGACGTCCCCTCCCCTCAGAGGTGCTTCTGGCCTCAGGGGGTCACAGAACCATCTGGCTCCTTCCTCAGCATAGTGGCTTCTTGGATTTTAAACAGATTTTACCTTTGGGTGCCTGAGTTTTGACTTCACATCTCCCCTCCCTGACCTGTTTTCTGTCTCCTCATCAGTGAAGGCCTCTGCTTATTACTCTCAAAGCTCAGGCAAATGTGAAGTAACTTTTAGCAGCCGAGTTGGGGAATCTAGCCTAGCTCCGGGGCAGGACTGTGCTTGGCTGAGGCCTTGACTGGCTCCAGTCTCTGCCCAGCTCAGGGTCCACCACCCACACCAGACAAAATGGAATGGCTGCTCTGGAGCTCCTCCCACTAACATGTATACCGGAAGCTGGTAGTGGGAACTGCAACTCATGTTGAACTGTGAAAGCGTTAGGCAGAAAAATAGGTATGAGCAGGGTGGATAGAGAACAAGGCCAGTAAAGCCCACTAGAAAGGACTCAAGAGTTAATCAGGTGAAACTAGAGAGCCAGAAAAGACAGAATTAATCAGTTGAAGCTCCAAAGGTCAGGAGTAACTTGGCATGTCCAGATGTTCTCCAGATAAAGAGAAGTATCCAAGCACAGCCCATGTCTTCATTGTGTCAATTAGATTATGCAATTGTAAGATTTACTTTAGCCTGCTAAAAGGCCCAGCTTATTCTTTAACTTAGCCTATGTGCTGTTCTTCCTCCTCCTTCATCTCCTAATCAAGTAATTTTATAACCAGGGTGGGAGACAAACATTGTAGCTAATTTTCCAAACAAGCCCAGATATAAACAGTATAGTAAGAACAGGTAAGTTTCCATCTTAGCTAAAATTGCATTTTAAGAGCCAAGAAGTTAGGAAGATTCCTAACATATTCTTTAGCAAACAGACCTCAAACTCAGCCCACCTTGAGGCAGGGCAGGGGTCTTGATTGATATGTTCCCAGAGGAAAGCCCCTATCCAGGGAGAGGAACCAGATCAGTAAATTTCGTGTGTTAATTTAATTTTGCAGAATTACCTGGAGGAATCTTAATAGAGGAAACATGGTGTCTCTCACCAGAGATAAACACCTTGAGGCCACTTAACAAGTCAATACCGGCTAGTCCTTTGTCACGTTCCTGAAAAATCCCTAAAAGAGGGAACCCCCCAACCTTACATGCTCCTCCTGAGGACGCCAGCACTTCTTCACTAAGTGCTTAACTTCAAATAAAACTTTTACTCTGCTTCACTAATGAGTCTTTACCCTTCAATTGTTTGTTGTGGCAGGGACAAGAACGGAGGAAAAAAAAACTCAACCCCCATAAAAAAAGTAAAAAGTTTTCCCAATCAAGTCATGCTTGGTTTTCTTTTGATCCATGGCTACCCTGTCGTCCAGCAGAAATCTGGCAGACCTGTGCAACCAGGCAGCCTTTTAACAGTTACAAAGCCACTTCAAATTCTTCGTTTCATTCCAGCTTCATACCCAGGTGGAGGCGGGGAAGGGAGCATTGCTGTTCAGAGAGGTTAAGGACTTGTCCTGCGTTGGAGGTGGGGGGGCAAGGCCGGCCTAGAATCTGGCTTTTCTCCCACTGTGAGGTTCGAGTGAACAGTCTTCAGCAGCACCTCCGGGTTCTGCCCCGCCCACTGAAGGCCAGAGAAATAGGCCCGACAGGCCCAGGGCGCCACGGCCTCAGAGGAAGCCGTCCCTCCCCAGGACTGAGCCCCTCTTTTCCCAGCCCCGGCCTGTCCCCTTCCGCTTACCGTCATACCGTCCCGCACGTCTCCCCCCTTCCGGTCCCCACTGCCAATTCTCCCCCTGCCGCCCCTGGCCCCCCACCGAGCCCTTCCCGCAGCCACCGCCCCCTTCGCCGCGCAGACCTCAGGCTGCAGCCCCTTTCGCTTCCCTACCGACACGCCCCCTCCCGGCGCCAGGCCGGGGCCCTGCCCCCCGCCCCCGGGTTTCTCGGAGCAGGGAGGCAGCTCCGCCCGTTCTAGCCGCCCACGTCAGGCGCCGCTCTGTGAACCCGCCCGGGGGAACACCGGCTGCAGGCACTGCCCGGCAGCTCTAGGAAGCGGGAGGCATTTCATCTTTGTGGTTCTGCTGGGTTCCTCCGGCCCGACCCTCCAGGAAAAGGGGCGGGTAGCGGGGTCAGGACCCAACTCAGTCCTTATTCCAAAACTAATTTTAAATGGACCCATTTCAAAGGACTTGGTGAAATAATGGGACAATCCCCTTGAGAGAAGTCTCTGCTTTTACTTCAATACAGCAATAATTAAAGTACTACTTATAAACTAGGGGAAATATTTGCAACATATATGGCAAATATACACCATAATTTTCTTACTACAGAGTTTGTACAAATAAATTCTTAAATGGATCAACAACCCAACAGAACTGCTAAAGAACATGAACAGGAATTCACAGAAGAAAAAAACACAATTTTTAAACACAAGACACGATTTCGTTTCATTCATAATTGAATGCAAATCAAAATGAGGGCACTTTTATCAGATCAAAAACTATAGTTTTAAGGATGACTTCGGGAAATGGACATTTCTATACACTTACTGGGAACCACATTCACACTTTCTATCAAAATACCAAATGCACCTACCCTTTAACAATTTATCCTGCAGGCGAAGTTGCACAAATACCAAGGATGGTGTGTTGGTATATTCAGCACGGCACTGTGTCTAATAGGGCACACTACATGATGTGTGTACATTCATACAGTGGAACATCACACAGCAGTGAAAATAAAATGAGGTAGACCTTACAGGCTAATACAGAACCAGCTATAAGACACACTAAGTGAAAAAAACCAAGGTGTATAGAGAGTGTCTGTGCCTGTGTGCTGAAAGGGGACACATAAGATTGTAAATGCATGGGCTATCTCTGGAAAGATCCTCAAATTTCTTTATAACAGTTATCCTACTTGGGGTACTCCAGCCTGGGAGGGAGACTTACTCTTCACTGCTGCAACTTTTAAGATGGGGGTACAATGAGAAAGGACCTTGAGAGAAAGGGGCACAGGCTTAGCCTCAGTTATTCTGACTGTGACTACTGGCCTTGCAAATGGGGGTCATCAGAGAACTTCCCACCTCAGGAGAGGAATAAATAAGATAAGGAACATGTGGCATTCAGCACTATGCCTAGAATACAGGAACCCCTCAACTAGTGGGGTGATTACAACCTTGCTACTGGCCTGCTAGGACTTGGGCTGCCTTCCTCAACCTCTCTCCCAGCATTACAGAGGTGTCAGCCACTGTGCACACAGGGAGCCCCAGAGAGACACAATGGGACCGGGGCCTCTCAGGCCTGAGCCAGGCCCCATCTGTCACAGGTCATGTCTCATCAGAGTGCAGAGGCCCAGATTTCTGGTTTGGGAATTTGCTACTTGATCCTTCATGCCCCTAAGGCCCGCTCATCCATCTGTCCCTTCTCTGGCCTCACCCCACCACCTGGGTCAGAATCCCAGTGGTCTCTCAGACTCTGACAAGCTAGCTGTCCATGTGGCCTCCAGGGCTCCTTTCTTCCCTTTCCCGCCTAGCCACCACACTCCAGCACAACTGTCTGCCAAACACCAGGGTGACAGTATTCCCTGGTGGAACTCCTGGTTCTTGGAGGTAACTGAGCATTTTATTTTCCCAGTCCTTTATACTGTGGCTCCCTACTGCCCACTCTGTATGCCACAAGGTCTTACCACTCTGCATAAGCTATGATCTTTCTTTTATTAACTTTTCCCCTCCTGATCATGAAAGTAATTCAGGCTTATTGTAGAAAATGCAGACAATATGGAAAATTTAACTACTGTTAACATCTGATGGACTGATTTCTATGCATGTACATTTAAGAAAACTGGGTTTTCTATACACACCATTTAACTTTGTACTTTGCATTTTTCATTTAATATGGAGAACATTTTGTATCACTTAACATTCTTTAAATTTTTTTTAGTGGTTATATTATATTCCATCGTATTATAATTTAATCATTTCTAGTCACTTGGGTTCCATTTACACCTTTTGTAGATTAATAACCCTGACAAATAACAGTATCATTGTCAAAATACTCTTCTTTTGGGATAGCTTTCTAAAGGTAGTACTACTGTACCAAAGTATCCAACATTCTTTTTAAAATGGTTTAGCTTCCCCTGAAATGATAATGGATTAAAATGGTTTAAATAACACTGATGGGATATGGGGAAAATTTTCTAGAAGATGGGAAATAGATGAAGTGGTAACTGATAAAGTTGGGTGGTCACAGCAGGGAACACTTCTAAGAGCAATAGACTGGAAAGAGGCAGGAGACCTACCCTGCCAGAGCCAAGCGGCCTGGAGCCTGGAACTCCCAGGCACATGAAGGTTGGAAGAGAGAGAAGGGCTTAAAATGGGCATTAACTCAAAGTCTGTAATAAACACTTGATTCTCTTCTCCCCCACTCCTACAGTAGCACTCATAGCAACCTCAGACAAAAACATCAAAGGATTTTTTTACTAGAGAAATTTAAGAGCCCACACAAAAGACCTCTGTATTCTGGCATTTAGAGGTTTCCAGGGGAACAGCTTGCTCCTCACCAGTCACTACACAGAGGTCTCATTTGAGTTTTTGACACACACACACACACACACACACAGATTTATGTGTATGTGTATATATGCTGATTTATCAGTAAGAATCACAACATATTTGAGGAAAGTCTCCAGTGAGAGTAAATGTGATAAAGAGAAAAAAGGACCCAGGGGCAAGGGCATGAATGAGTGAGATCATTCAGGTGACAAAAGAGACAGAAAACAAGAAAAGGCTCTTAGAAGTTAAACTAATTACTGCTGAAGTAAAAACATTCACTAGAAAGGTTGAAAAATAATCAAGGTATGCTCCCAGAAAATGGCACAAGGCAAGGAACACGTTGTTGAGGATCAACACACAAAGTACAACATGTGATTGAAGGAAATTTCAAAAAAATTAAAAAGAAAGAAAAAAAAAAAAACAGAAAGGGGGAACTGTTACATAAGTAACACAAGAAAATTTCCAAGAGTAGAAGTACCTGAGTCGCTAGATTGAAAAATTCCATTGAGTACTTCTGGGAATTGAGTATATCAGGGATAAAGAGGAGACTTTAAAAGCTTCCAGGTATGGCTGTGGGGGAACAGATCACAGTAAGGTAAATACTATTTACTGATTGTCAGAGAAGTAAAAATCTGACTGGAATCACACAGGAATCCACAAAATTCTGGAGAAAGTTTTCAATCTAGAATTCCAGAGCTAGTCAAATTACCAATCAAGTGTGAGAGTAGAGGAAAATGTTTTTGATATGTAACCAATCAATAATTTTGTCTTCCATATACTTTTTCTTGGCAAGTGACAGGAAGATGTGCTACAGTGAAATGGAGGGAGTACATGAACAAAGAGGAAGATATGGGATAGGACACAATGGAGTCCAGTATAGCATCAGGGCAGTAGGCAGAAAACAGCAAGGGCAGTATAGAGCAGGACGCAAGGTCTCTGGAAGGAAATATACAGGAAAGAAGGGGGCTCAACAGAGTATCTAATTGGATGGAGAATTTGAAAATAACAGAGGATGTGCTAAAAGCAACCAGTGCAAGGGGCAAAGAAAGGTAACTAGAAACTTCAGTAAAAACAAAACATAGTTCCAAAAGGGAAGTATCATCATAGAAAGTTACTTAGATCTGCAGTGAAAAACATTTACATGGTCATAGTAACATTCATGCTGTTTATTTGCAACTTTTAGAACAAACCAATACACAAGGGATAGAAGACTATAGTTATAGGACAGAATTCAAGAATTATCAGACCTGACATTTTCAGAGGTGAAGAGTAGAAAAGGTGGTGATAAAAAGAAGTGCAGGGTATATTCCAAATTTTACAAAATGGGGAATTGAGATAGTTTATAATTAATACAATAAAACAAAATATGTAAATACAATAATTTTTTCCTTATTATAAAATTCTTGCTTATAGAAAATATGGAAATTCCTAAAAACAAACAAATAACCTCTTACTCACCCATAATTCTATTACCCATAGGACCTGGGTTTGAGCCTAAGCTCTGCAATGTACCATCTTTTATGGCTGTGAACAAGTCACACAGCCACTTATATTTTCTTAAATTTCCTTCAGGTAATTTATTACATTTTAACTGTATATGTAACAATATTATGAGAACTGTACTATATACACAATTTTGAATCCAGATTTTTCTCACTTTAAAACAAAGTAAAATTCTGGATATGTATTATATGCTCTTCTATGCTTCTAAATATGTCCTTGCTATAGGGCAGTCAGTGCTTTCCCAGAAAAATCTGACCAAATCTTGAAAGAAACTTAGGGTTAGGAAAAGTAGGTGGAAGCTGGGTAGGAGGTGGTGGTAACAGGCACCAAGGACAGTTGAGCAAAGGCACAGAGAGCAAGCACGTGCCTCTAGGCAGTAAAAGGTTCATGGAAAGTGAAGAAATGAAATTGGAAGATGACAATGAGAGTTTAGTAAATCATGTTAAGGGATCCAGGCATTTTTCCTGTAAGAGCCATGAGAAAGGGTTTGGTAGACCTTGTTTGTTTAGCACCCCAGGGCCTAGTACCATGTTTGCCACAAAGAATGCATCCTAAGAATTTTTGTAATGAATGAATGATGTATAGGAAACCAAAAATGTTTCCAGGGGTTCCAGTGTGAGTGCTGAATAATGCTGCAATTTGCTGGGGAATCCTTAAGAGATGCAAAATTTAAAAGGTTATGTGTTTGGAGATCCTTAGAGATTCTGACCTCATTTAAAAAAACGTCACAGATGATTAAGTAGTGCATTCCCAGATGTGGCTTTAGCCCCTAGAGGATCCATGGATTGGCCACAGGGAACCTATAACCCCAACAAATGAGCAGCTAATTGAATGTGCAATCTGCGTTTCTCCAGAAGGGAATATACAGCCTACATTAGGTCCTCAGAGGCTGTAGGCCCAGGAAGGCTAGGCTCACTGGATAGAGAAGCAAGTGGAGAAGTGACAGATGTGGGAGGACAACTGCTTAGGGAAAGAGGGGAGGGGATCCAGAGCAGAGGAGAATTAGCTTTGCCCAAAGACACCTCTTCCTGACCCAGAGGAATTCGTGGCCAATTGTATTTGACAGATGTGTGTGTGTGTTGAAGAGTCTGCCCCATGTTCCCAAAGCACTGTATGATTTTATTATCACTTTTGCATCTCTGTGCTCCACTTTATGCATCTGCTAGTCTCATTCAAGAGTTAAGGACTGACTTCCCAGCTCTACCCTTACTGCCCATCACTAGGTCTGGCTCTTCCCCTGATAGCTAAATCTGATAATTCTCGGCAACTTAAGAAACAGGGCTTCAGAGTTCCCATCTACTTCTAGAAAGACCAGCCATGAGGGAAGGGAAATGACCCTAAGAAAAAGAAAAACCTAAGCCAACTCTGACAACAAGGGGTGCTCACTCCTCCCCTATCAGAAACCATACAGAAAAAGGGTTGTAATTGATTTTATGAGCTGGAATTGAACTGAGAGGGAGAGTTCTAACTGGAGAAGGATCTAATCTGTTTAGTAATCCATTAAGCTCACATGATTGTGGAAACCCAGACCCGGAGAAGTAATACAAGTAGAAATGTCGAAAGTCATTTTGGTGAATGAGGAACATAAAAGTATGTTATATAAAACTTGGTTTGCTTATGTAAATAAAATGTTTGGTATATTCACTTAAAATACAATTAAGTCGGGTCACAGAATCCTTACAGAAAAGGCTTGGCGGAGGTACAGGACCCCCAATGCAGCCAGTGTAGCTGGAATTCTTTCTGTTTTGCTGAAGCCACACAGAACACTGTGCACATTTAGATCCTCACACTGGAGCTGCGCCCCTCCCCCCCACCCTCTGATGGCACACATTTGTGGCCTGCAGGCTTTAATTGGCTGCAGTGGCCAACTGCCTTGGTTGCAGAATGTATTCTCCTCCAGAGTTTTAAAAAATACTGAGGCCTGGAAATGGAAAAACTTTAAAGTGCCCTATATGATTCCAACATGCAGCCGACTGAAAACCACTGCTTTAATGCAGCACTGGGTCCGATTTGCAAGCCCAGCTTTACATTACAATCATCTGGGTAGCTTTTCCACCTATGAATGGCAATCTTTACCCAGGAGATCACAATCATCCATGGTAAGCATTTAACTGTGAGGATGAATATACAACCTGAAGCTAAAACAGTTTAACTGTCTTAATGATCATGAATCCCAGCTGACACCTTTCAGGGACATATACTTTTGGCCTCTTAGAGGGTCAAGTCACAGATTCATCCCTCGGATCTGCTCTCCCTCTTTTCTGAGGATCCTGATCATGCAGAGGGGAAAAAATATGATCTCAACAGAGATATATAGTGTTATCTTTGGGCCTCTTCACTCCCAGACAGGGGGATAGGAACAGTCACTGTCAGGGTAAGTGAAGGAATGAGTATTTTTGATTCTTACTTTTGAATTCTATTGATTTCTTGTGTTTGTATGATTTTAACTAGGGAAAGAAGTTGCACATGCTTTGAAAGGGGAGAGAAAAGGAAATTAATAAGCTTTCTTGTGTATGCCTTCTGCATGTGAAAGTGCTTTGTAAACTACAGAGCACTATTAATAATTGTTGTAGAAATGAAACAAATGCAGGGCACTTCTGCACAAGAGTTGCACCAAACTGCTTATCCCCGGGTATAGCACTTGAGATAAATGCTCCTGCATGCTAAGAGGAGGGGTAGGTGTCAGGAGACTTAAATTCCAGTCTTAGATTTGCTGCTTGCTGGTCACACTGCCTAAGGCACACCCTCTGTCACCTCAGCTTCCTCACTTGTAAATGGGACTATACACCCCATTCTCAAGCTCTCTACAGATCTGGGTGGGGGATTATAGGTGGTTAGACAAGCAGCTTGGTAGAACAAGAAGACTCTGGTTAGATCCTGGGTTTGAATACAGGCTTTGTCACTTGTTACTTGGCCTTGCATTAAATGACCACCATCAGGTAAACAGGGAAACACCTCCTTCAGTGTTTTAGGGACTAAAGTAATGATCTATGTGAAAGCATGAGATAAGTTCTAGGTACCATGATTCTGTACATTATGGTGCATAAACAAAGTTCTATATAAATACAAGGCAATATTATTACATAATTCTTCCTATTGCATAGTTTTATAAATCATTTTCCAGGAGTAAAGGCTCAGTGGTAACAAAGGTTCTTACCTTAGCCAGTTTCCTCAGCCTTTTAAAAGTTTTCATATTCCAATAGCTTTGAACTTTTCAAAAAAAACAAAAAAACAAATTAAGACCTTAGGAATCCCACTCTGTCTCCTCCCTCTCCTGTCATTTCTTTCTTCCGGCCTCTTAAAAATTAAAAGGGCTCCATCATTTCTTCTAAAGACAATAAAGTGAGAATGAATCCCAAACTAAGCCCCCTGGCTGGGTCTGAGTAGAATGAGAGCAGAGACAGTGTGGGCATGCCTCTAGTAAGCCTTCTTTGACTCTTCTATCTGGTAAAGGATCTGTCAGTAGAATCTCACTCAAATGGAATGCAGTGGAAAGTGGGAGTTATTTGGAGCCGCTGATCTTAGCAAATACAGTGCAGCAGCATTTGTGGCCCCAGTACATTGTCTACATCAGTCCTCAAGTGCTTGGCTGTGTAGACTGGGGAATGGTTAGAAGGGACTCATCAGAGGTCCCCACAGCTTTGCCAAACTAAGGCTCATGAGGGATAGGCGTTGAGAGAATTGGCTGTTTCCTATTTCTACCCATTTTAGGAGCTGTAGACAGTTATTAGTTTTGTGGGGGTTTTGATTTTTTTAAATTACTTAGAGACTGGAAACCTTGTATGTGTTCACAGGGGAGTGGTTACTGAATTTCTACCCCTTCACTAGTCAATGCTTAACCCAAAACACTAGAACACAAGGTTCAAAGCTCCAGAATACTACCAAGCAGGACTATACCACTAATGCTTGCTGCTCAAGAAACTACCAGTTTTAAAAAACAAAAATAAAAAATACCTTTCTCAAAATGGGATCTTTATCACTTAGCTTTGTATGACCCATTTCTAAGAAAGCCACCACATTCCATTTTAGACAACATGATCACTTAGGACACAGTTACAAAGTCCTTGCCTTTAGGTGTTTAGTTTCATTTTCTTTAAATTAGCCTCTGAAATGCTTCTATTGTTTTGTGCCTCACTCCTGAAAACTGTTACTTCTAAGTAAATAGCAGGCCTCATTTTTACAAAGGAAGAAGAAAACAAAGAGGTGTCCAATTTGGGAGTAGTAGTTTATGACCAATGCCTGGAGTCTTCCTCTTTACTTGCTACTCAACAAGATGGGTTCTGTGGTGTCGCATGAGATGTGAGTTAGAAATGAAAGCTGCACCACACTTCTCACACTCATAGGGCTTCTCCCCAGTGTGGGTTCTCTGGTGTACAGTGAGACTTGACCTCTGCCTGAAGGCCTTGCCACACTCATTGCATGTATAAGGTTTTTCCCCATTATGGATTCTCTGATGAATAAGCAGGTATGAGCTGCACGTGAAGGCCTTCCCACACTCGTTACACACATAAGGAAGATCTCCACTGTGAATCCTCTGGTGCACAATAAGGCAAGAGAGCTGACTGAAGGCTTTTCCACACTCACTGCAGTCGTAAGGTTTCTCTGCAGTGTGAATTCTCTGGTGGACAATAAGGTGTGAAAAACAACTAAAGGCTTTTCCACACTCCTTACACTCATATGGCTTCTCACCAGTATGGCTTCGCTGATGCACAATAAGATTTGCACTCTGGGTGAAAGCTTTGCCACAATCATTACAGGCAAAAGGCTTCTCCCCGGTATGGATCCTCTGATGAACAATAAGGTTTGAGCTCCGAGTAAATGTTTTTCCACACTCATTACACTCATAACATTTTTCTGTAATGTGGACTTTCTGGTGCCGAGCAAGTTGTGAGCTGTAACTGAAGGCCTTCTCACATTCACTGCACTTAAAGGTTTTTTCTAAGGAGTGGATTTTTTGATGTACAGTCAGATTGGAACTCTGAGTAAAGGCTTTCCCACATTTTGAACAAACATACGGTTTCTGTCCAGTGTGGATTCGCTGATGCACAACAAGGTTAGCACTCTGAATGAAGGCCTTCCCACACTCATGGCACTCAAAGGGTTTCTCCCCAGTGTGTATTCGTTGATGTACTACAAGGTTTGCACTCTGACTAAAGCCTTTCCCACACACACTACATGTAAAAGGTTTCTGCCCAGTCTGGCTTTTCTGGTTTTTAATAGAGCCAGAACTTAGACTATATATTTCCCCAGATTTCTGATATTTTTGGTCTTCCTCTTCTTTAAAACTTTCAGGTACATGACAGTCCTTCACTGTTACTTGTCTGAAATCTCTCTTTTCCCTCTTGATTCTCTGCCTCTTTATGTTCCCTTTTTCACAGGCTTCTCCAAACTCAGGTCCTTGAGGGTCAACTTTCTGGATTCTTCCTGATATTATGAAGGGTTTTTCTGTTTCATCACATATCTCCGTTTTTGGAACCAATAACTGTGGGTTCTTAGTTTCAGCAACTGAAACAAACAGAAAATACAAATGTCAGCTTTTTATGGTCCAAAAAAAAAAGTAGGCTCTTCAAGTCATAAAGGTTACTAAGTATGTGACTTCAGTGTCTGTAAAACAGCTTCATCAAAGGAAAGAATTCCCTCACATGTCACCTGTCCTCTGTGGGTTCTTCTGCCAGGTCTCTACCCTCCCCTACACCTACAGCAGAATCCAAAGACTCATGGTCCTTCCAGTGTTTACCTCCATTAGACACTGAACCCAAGTGCCTCATGCCATGAAAGCCATCTCGACAGCTCTCCTGATTGTGTGATGGCTGATCTCACAACTAGGACCAGTTTTGTAGGATACCAGTCTTTCCCCAGGTTTGGCTTTCTAGCCACTTAGTTTGGATTTGTGTACAACCCACAGTAGTTACTTAGGGAGATTCCCTCCCAGTGAATGAAGACCAAAGCAACTTAGGCTTCTGTATGAGGAAGTTAAATATCAAAGAAAGGATAAGCATGGACAGAAAGGGTCACACTGGATTACAAGAGGGCCACAGTGACCAAAAGTATCCAAACCATTGAGGGGTTCTCGAAAACCTCTATGCTGCATAGCCTCTCAATATTCTAGTAATTTAATTTTTGTGCCTCAGTTTCCCTATTTCTAAAATAGGGACAAAAACAATTTCTACCTCATAAGACCATGGCAGGATTAACTGAGTTACTCTATGTTAACTGCTGAGAACAGCCATGGATCACAGGGAGTGACTCTGTGAGTGTCTGGAATGAATTTCAGCTGGGCCAGCAGTGCTGTGGGTCAAAGTGCTGGAGTTCAGGAGGAAAGATGAACTTTAGGGGACGGAGTTGTCATGCTCATAGAAGGGAGTACAAAAGAAGGTGAGCAGAAAACAGTTTATGCCTTGTGTGGAGCAATTAGCCTAGCTTTATGTCAAACTGACCTTTCTGAGTTAAGTTTGAGATGTGGCCTAGTGTGGGGAAGTTGGGGTTCCTATGGCCAGGATCCTCACTGAACTAAAACCACCTGATGATTTAACTGGCCTGTTCCTAGGCTGCGGCTTCCACACTTTTAGGCAATAAGCTATTATTGCACTATATAGGGAGCTTGGCCCAGTGCTCTGGGCAGAGACAGAAATGCTAGTGCTTGACCTACTGCCAGGAGAACAAGCCGGGTAATAAACCCTTTCACCCCAAAGAACGTTTTGCTGTCAATTTCTTTGGTTACATTGAATCCATAGCGAACTTGCCCAGGGCTGAAACACATTGGCAAGACAATTGGCAAAGTCAGCAGGGTTCATTGTTGACCAAGGGAAAAGATAGGCTGCCCTTATGGGAGGAGTGCTTCAGCGGGCTGCCCCTATGAATGGGGAGACAGTGAACTGTCCCCCAATGGGTAAGTGGTCTGAGGTGGCTTGCCTCCTAGAGGACTGGGCCCCACCCCAGGACTGGAGGCAAGTGGAGGTGACACCTGATGCTGTAGGGGTGGCCCTTGGTATAGTGAGTAGGTCTTTTCAGAGACCGAGTGCCCGTGAGGCAGCAGGGACTGTGGGTTAGCTGTTTCTCACAGTATCAAAAAAGTCTGCAGAGGAGAAGGACACGCTCCTGAAAAAGACCCAAGAAATGGCGGCACAAGAACACGAGCTGCAATCTGCTGTGGATTCCCTGAAGGAAATGACATTTATACAAGAGGAGGCAGCATGAGAACACCAGCAGCGAGGTGCCATTGAAGAGGTAAAAGATTCCTTGGAGAATGCGATGGCAGTACTGCCAGGTGCTCTGAAGGAGGAAGAGACCATCAAGGAAAAAGATGAACTCTTGAGGGAAGCACAGGCAGAGGTGGCATGAGAACGCCAGCTGCGAAGCATAGAGGTGAAGGTAAGAGAGCTTCTGAAGACTGAGCTGGCATAGCTGCGAGGCACAGTAGAAAAGGTAAAGGTTGTAGCAGAGAAGGCACGGGGGAGGGGATAGAAAGGTGCCATCAGCCCCGGAAATGGAGGAGCTGGGGAAGGATGAAGGGGTGGTGCCAGAGGCACTGACGCCTCCTGTATTAAAAGCATGCCCACTGGTTGTAAAGAAAATAAAAGACCTAGCAGCTGAAAGTTCCCAGAGGAGAAAAGGAGCCTCCTCCCCAGGTCATGGAGCACTCTATGCTCTGTCCCTATACTCAGGCTGAGCTGGTGGATTTGGGCTCCCAGTTTAGGCAGAAGCCCTTGGAGTCAATATTAGCTTGGCTCCTGCGTCTGTGGGACTTAGGGGTGGATGGAATGGTTCCGTCGGGATCAGAGATGGGAAAGCTGGCTACCCTGACAGTGCAGCCCGCCTTGAGGCAGCGATAACAAAATGCACATCAGACCCCAGGGAGTCACTCTTCCCTCGACTGGCTTATGGCTGCACTTTGTGCTGTGTGCCCCAATCAGGGTGATCTGCCATTCTCTCCTGTTAGATGGCAGATGTATGCTGAGCTCCAACAGGAGCTTCGAGAGCTCGGCATAAGAAATGCCATTTACAGTGCAGAGAATTATGGCCCAGATGAAGAGATCTGCACTACTGGGATGAGAAATATTGTGCTTCAAATGGCTCCCACATCCCTCTTTGGGTCTCTAGTGACCATTCTTTCCCCTCACTTAGGGCATCCCATAAGTGAGGTGACACATACAGTAGCAGACTTAGGAGAGGCTGAAACAATGAGAACAAAGAAATAGGGTCTGCTATTCATAAGAAGAATTTACAGGGCCCCATGAAGGTTAAGAGGACCCAGATGTGGGCTCATTTAATATGGGTGGGAGCAGATGGAAGGAAATTAGATTCGAAGTCAAATAGGATCTTACTAGAGCTATGGCAACAACTGAAACCAGAGCAGCAGTTCCAGCCATTAAGACCAAAGAGGCAGAGGTCAGACACAGAGCCATGAGTCCAGCCTGTGTGTTTGCAAGACTTTCTGCAGGAGAGCGAGCCAACCGCACTTGAGCCCACACAGGAAGGTGACTGGGGAACATGGTTTGACTGAGGGGAAGGTCAAGGTATCTGCCCTGAAGGACCAGGGGGGACCAGAGGCCACATGCTGAAATAGCTGTCCATTGGTCCTCAGTGAACATACAACGTGTCCTGGCTCTGGTGGACACAGGGGCTGAATGTTCACTGATTCATGGTAACCCTGAGTGGTTCCCCGGGACCCCCACTATCATAGATGGATACGGGGGTAAGTCTATTAGAGTGAAACAAGCCCAAATCCCTTTGGGAATAGGGCGTCTACCCCAAAAACGGTATACTGTGTATATATCTCCTATCCCTGAGCACATTTTGGGGGTTGATATCCTGCTGGGTCTATGGCTGCAGACCACTGCAGTTGACGTCAGACTGAGAGTACGTGTGGTGAAAGCAGTTCTGAGGGGACATGCTAGGCACCTGCCCATAGCTTTGCCTGTTCCCCGGCGGGTGACTAATACCAAACAATACAAACTGTCTGGAGGGCATAAAGAGATTGGAGAAACTCTCCAGGAGCTGGAAAGGTGGGTATTATAAAGTCCACCCATAGTCCTTTCAATTGCCCAGTGTGGTCAGTAAAAAAGCCAGATGGCTCCTGGCGTATGACTGTGGATTACAGAGAACTGAATAAAGTCATACCCCCTATGCATGCTGCTGCTCCTCTATTGCAGGACTGATGGATACCCTCAGCCATGAACTAGGAACATAACATTATGCGGTAAATCTTTGTAATACCTTCTTTTCCATTGACATTGAGCAGGAAAGTCAGGAACAGTGTGCCTTCACATGGGAGGGACGGCAATGGACTTTCACCGTCCTTCCACAGGGATACCTCCACAGCTCCATCTGTCATGGACTTGTAGCCCAGGACTTGGCTACATGGGAGAAACTGCTAATGGTGCGGCTGTACCAGTATATTGATGACGTCATGCTAATGTCCGATTCTCTTTCAGATCTAGAAGGTGCACCACCTAGACTGCTGCAACATTTACAGGAGAAAGGATGGGCTGTGAACAGCATCAAGGAACAGGGACCTGGTTTGTCTGGCAAATTCTTGGGGATCATCTGGTCGGGTAAGACCAAAGTTATACCAGAAGCAGTTATAAAGTCCAGGCCTTTCCTACCCCTACAACTGTAGCATTGCTACAGGAGTTTCTGGGTCTTCTAGGCTACTGGAGAGTGTTTATACCGCACTTGGCACGAATTCTGAAGCCCTTATACAAGTTGGTACGAAAGGGCATCAGGTGGGACTGGGATGAGACATGTGCAGCTGCCTTTACTACAGCAAAATGGGCAGTCAAGGCCGTACAGGCCTTGAGTGTGATAGACCCATAAACACCCTGTGAGCTGGACATTCATGTCACTGAAGACGGTTATGCCTGGGGTCTCCGGCAGGGGCTTGAACGAATTCGCCAACCTATTGAATTCTGGTCACAACTCTGGAAAGGGGAAGAAGTATGATACACTTTGATAGAAAATCAACTGGCTGCTGAGTCGTGTATCATGCCTTGCTGGCTACAGAACCCATCACTGGAATGGCCCCAATAAAGGTAAAAGCCACCTGTTCCATCTTGGGGTGAGTACGAGACTGGATCCAAAAGTCAAGGAGTGGTGTGGCACAAACGCTCACACTGGCCAAGTGGAGTGCTTACCTACAGCAGCATAGTGCCCTGTCTAGTAGCCCCTGGAGTGAAGAACTCCAGTGCTTATTGGGGCCAGTGACATGTACTAGTGAAAAAGAGAAATAATTTGCTTTTGAACCATTAGTAGCAGAGAGTCCCTATCGGGAGGGAAGAGCCCCTATATCTGAAGATTTATGGTACAAAGATGAGTCCAGCCATGGGGAGACCCCAAAATGGAGGGCCATAGCTTCCATCCTAAGACTGAGACAATATGGATAGAAGATAATGAGGGGAAGAGCAGCCAGTGGGCAGAGTTGTGGGCCATGTGGCTTGTGATCAGCCAGGAGCCCTCCCCTATAGTTGTCTGTACTGACAGCTGGGCTATCGGGGCTTGACTCTGTGGCTACCAACCTGGTACCATGCCAACTGGCTGGTTGGTCACTGACCCCTTTGGGGGACAAGGCCTGGAAGCTGACCTCCTGTTTATTTCTGGAATAACAGCAGAGGTGCCCCCCAAAGGTCACAGTAGTATATCCTGAATGGCCACAAGGTAGGAGCATCTTGCCAGGGAGTTTTGTTTTATCATTATGGCCAGTGCATGCACCTCCAGTAGCACTATATATAGACCCTTCAGTAGCCCTCATAGGGAAAGGAGTAAAAGTATGGTATACTAGACCTGGAAAGGACCCCCTTCCTGCTACAGTCCTATGACAGGACCACTCTCTTGCATACATCCTACCTGATGGAGAAGATTTGCCTATGTTGGTGTCATTAAAACATGTCTCTTATTGCCCCAAAGGTCTTTGTGGATTGAGAACTTCCTCTGGCTTGAGGACTATTATAATTTTTGTTATTAGGAACCTCACCTGGCTTGAGGATTATTATAATTTTTGTTACATGTATCAAAATCTTGTTGTATTTTAATTTTTGTTATTATCTCTAAGTTGTTGTTATCTTCTCTTGCTATTGTGGAATCTGGTTACAGTGCTCCAGCTTTCTTGCACAGGGACCACTGTGGAAGATTGAAAGCGTGTAGATTGTAAGATGAGAATCCTGGAAGGGTGGAGTGTGGGGAAGCTGGGGTTCCTATGGCCAGGATCCTCACTAAATGTAAACCATGTGATGATGTAACTGCCCTGATGATGTTGCTAGGTTACCGCTTCCACACCTTTAGGCAATAAGCTATTATTGTGCTATACAGAGAGCTCGGCCCAGTGCTCTGGGCAGAGGCAGAGACACTAGTGCTCGACCTACCGCCAGGAGAACAAGCCGGGTAATAAACCCTTTCACCCCAAAGAACGTTTTCCTGTCAATTTCTTTGATCACATTCAATCTATAGCGAACCTGCCCGGGGCTGATACCCATTTGGTAAGACACATAGCCTGCTCCCTAATGCCAAAAATAGGACAACACTAAAACATACCTAAGTTTTAGAAGTCTGACTAGTCTGACGATCTACATTGCCTCAGAGCCCTAATGGTGTCAAAAAAGGGTCCTGAAGTCAGTAACATCATATCTGAGTTGTCTGTCTACTCTCTACCCCCACCACCCTTGACCCTGGAATGTGCATCCATTAGCCTAGTGTCAGTAGAGTGAATCCTCAGTGTTTGTGAATTAAACTAATGTCAGAAAAAGTACTCAATAATAAAACAAATGAAATAAGGTCCAGCAGGAATGGAAGGCAAGCTTGCAGAAGTAAGTATTCCCACCGAGGGCATCAGCTTAGAAGTGAGTAGTAAAGGTGTGAGCTGCAAGTCATGCAGCAACTGCAGGAGGAGAATGCAGCATCCACAGAACATCCTACCAGAAGAGGCTTGGGCCATCCTGCAAACAGTGAGGTAAGTGGGCAGCATGGGGATGGTGGGGTACAAAGCAAAATGGGGAGGCAGGGGAACAACCCAGTTTCATTGCCTAGTTCAGACACAGTAACATTAAACTGTATCACAGTCATTCAGATAAGATGGGCATTGTTGGAGAAAGGAAATACCTGAGCACCAGATACAGTAAAGCCCCAAATGTGACAAGAACAAAAAAAATCTGAAATGCTATCTTTTCCTGGTCATTTCTATTCCTACTATTCTGGTATCTTTTTAAAATCTATTCCATTTTTCTCCCTGTCATTTAACTGCTCTTAGATCTTTTCTTCTCTTACCTTCCCCTACTGCCTCTTCATCTCTCCTCTCTTGGTCTTTATTTTTAATTTTGTGTGAAATATTCTGATTTTTATAGTTTCACATCTCTTCTACTTTTCTTTTGCTCATTAGTTTCTCCTATGTTTTCCACTATACTTTATCACCTACACTTCACCTTATTTTTCTCCCATCTAACATTTCTGTCCTTTTTCTCACCTTTTCTCCTTTACCTCCCCATCACTGACACTGGGGACCCCTGTCCCCCACCAAGCATCTCTCCAACAGAAACAATGTCCAAGAACACTTTACCCTATGACCTCACTCCTGTCCTCCTCACTGTGAGATTTGGAATACTAGAAAGACATGAAACATGAAGCCCAGTGGGACCTACTGAACCAACTAGAGCCAGCAGAAGAAATAGGGAGCTACTGAAACAACTAGAGCTGATAGAAGAAACAATTCCTTATATTTGCATATGCTTTATTATGTCATAATTATTACAGAACTAGGCACAGCTGTAGCCTACAAGGTCTTAATGTAGCAGTAATTTAATAGGGATGAAGTAAGAGCCAGGATCTTGGCAAGTGCTCAGGGTGTAAGAAAAGGGAGTTGAGGCCCTTCTGTGTGCTCAAGCTCAATGTTCTTGGGCAATTAATTAGACAATAACCTAGGACCTGTAACTTTGGCTTCAGATGGTATTTTTTCTTTTTTTGGATATTGTAGGATTACTGTAACCTTAGGAAGTAGAGAAATCAGTATACAAATAATGAAGTAGTAAACTAAAATCTCACTGGTGATCAACTAGAGTACAGACATAGTAATAAGTTTTGAAATCCTTTTCTAAAAAGGAGAGATGTGAAATGCTATATGAATCTGCCATCTTAGTTGGTGACTATATTCTGAGATATGAAAGGCAATTTGATTTACTAAATTTATAAGTCCAATTCACTAGATTTACAAAAGCTCTGTGTTTATCAAGATTTCTTTTATAAGATTTGTAAGTCTGCCAACTTAGGTATTTTTTTATAGAAGGAAATTGATACATAGGTAGAAGAAAATGTTTTTAAAAGTTTAAAAATTTAATCTGTAAAACTTAAAGCTTAACTAAACATGAATTTAAGAAAAAGCACAAGTGTTCTCATTTTTATAAAAGTATTTCTAGGTGTATAAATGAAATAAAAATAAGTATGCTTGAAAACTTGGTTTTAAATGTATAAACTTTAATTCACACGTAGGCAACAATAGATAAGCCTCTCAGATATTAATCCAGCAATACACCAAAATTTCCAAAGCACTGTGGATAAAGTGAAGGCTCCTATGGCTTCTCACCTGGCCTTGGTCAGCTTACTCACTAATATGTGTGGGCAATGCGTTGTTACTGACTGTATATAAAGAGATCCACCCAGTGCTCTGGGTGTCACGGTGGCATGGCTGCATGGCTGCAAGAGAGCAGAGACTGGAGTGGTGGCAGCGCAAAGGACAAAGACTGAGACGACTACAGTGGTAGAGAGGCCCAGAGGCAGTGACTGGCTTGCTGCCACCAGGGGAATAAAGTTGGGTAATAAATCTTTTTTACCCCCAGAATGTTCCACCGTCATTCCTCATTCTCATTGAATCCACAGTGAATTTGTCTGGGGCTGAAACCCACTGGCAAGACAAGTACTTTCATGTATATTATGTAATTTTATCATCAAGATGAAAATTCTTGTGTGGGAACTTAAACAGGGCAAGGCTGTGTCTTAATTCACTGCTGTATCCCCAGCATCTATCACACTGCTCAGCACACAGGAAGCAGGTCCCCAACAAATACTACATTTATTGAATGAATGCACACCAGTTTAGAGAACAGGAAATGGAGGTCCAGAGAAAGAACTTGCTCAAGGTCACAGAGTTGTCAGAGGCATGGCAGCAACTACACTCAGATCTTTCTCTTAATTCTTAGAGCTCAGTGTCCTGCCATCACCTGCTATTATGGGAATGACTGGCAGCACAAGAAAAGGCAAATCTTGGCTGGCTTACTACAGGGTCTTGAAGTAAGAGGCAGGAAGGAAAATGGTGGCCATTCGAGGGTATGGGAGCAGCTGTGGGAAGTTTAAGACTATGAATAACTGTTAAGCAAGGGAACAGAAATGATACACAGGGAAATACATTACAGAGAGTGGAATAGGTCAACAGAAGTTGCCAAGAGTTTGGGAGATAATTAAAGGAGATAAGGGAATGAAAGTTGGCAATCCTAACCTGCCCCACAAAACTGGTTTAACACAGTGACCTGGTCCACAAGTGCCTGAGGAATAGGCTAGGGAGGAAAATGGGTTAAAAATATTCTGGCACAGCCCTGTACTACGCAGCCTCAGAGCATGTGAGTGCCAAAGGGGCCTTGGCAGTCATCCAGGAATTGCTTCCACATCACAGGACCCATGGTCACCACACTGCTGACAAGTTACATGTGTCGCTCTTTCATATGCAAGCTTCTGCCACTGCCAGTCAAACATATCCTGAGTCTCACCTCAGAGAAAACCAGGTGGTAAGCTTTGGACATCATTATGGTTGGCACAACTGCTCAAAATCCTCTATAATTTGCACAAAGATGTATGAAAAATGAACATCTCCATGTAAGATCCTCAAAATTACCACAAAAGCTGAGCCTTCCTAACTTAGCTAGCTTCTCTTGCAGGCTTACCAACCTGTGATATGTCTCCATGTGCAAATAAATATGAAACTTGCTGAACAAATGTGATTAAAAGGTGAACTCAGTTCACCTGTGTTTGTCCTGAGACTGTATGTAAAATAAGCCACTTCTTGTGACAAATGCACAGGCATTGTCCAGCATTCCTCTATCCAACCCCCCTGGACTCGTTCAACGCCTCAGCGCTCTCTGTTGCTCAAACCAGGAGATCATACCATCAGTCTCTTAACAGATTTTGAGGAACCCCAGTGGTCAGATTCTGAATCACAGAGGTTGAACCTTACCTAGAGAAGCCATGTTCCCATAAGTCTCCATTATCTCACTCTTGGCCAGAGTCCCTGGTAATGAGTAGATGCCAAGGCTTGAAGCAGCAGGCACCTCCTTCGTTGCTTTCAGAACCATAGCCATGTCCCAAAACATGTTTGGACCCTGAAGACAAACAGATACAGGTGAGTTTAGGAGGGGATTGTCAGTTGGAGGTGGTGTGAATACAGCTTTGAGGATGAGAACATAAGTAGCTATTCCTGGAGGCCACAAAACATTAAGGAAAAAAAAAAAACAAGGAAAAGGAAACCAGTCTTCCCTAATCCCCAAGGTGAGTTAGGCAGAAAAGCAAACCTGCTACCTTTTTCCCTATCACTTTGATTTTACCTCATTGTCCACTCCAGCACCCAAACCTAACTTGCCTGGAGTGCATGACAAGTGAGCACAAAAGGACATTCTCCAGAATAGACTTTTCTGAGGTCTAAAGATCAAAGAAGCAAGGTTCTGATCATATTAGCACAGGGATGCTTTGAGAAACCTCAGTCCTTATCTAGCTAGTGATGGTAAGGGATGTGTTTGAAAACACTGAGGGCCACAGTATATAGTTTCACTACTCAAAGCGCGGTCCACAGATCAGCAGCATCACCACCTGGGAGCTTGTGACAATGTCAGACCACACTCCAGACCTCCTGAATCAGAATCAGCATTTTCAGAATACCCCCTGGTGACTCCTATGCATATTAAAATTTGAGAAGCACAGGTTAGAGTTATCAAATCTTGACTGTTATCACCTGAAGAGTTTTTAAAAAATACTGATGTCTGGGTCTCACCCACCGCCCACCCCAGAGATTCTGATTTAACTGGAATGGGGTATGGTATAGGCATCACTATTTTACAGAAAGCTTCCAGGTCATTCTGTGTAGCAAAGTATAAAAGTACTATATGTCACATCAATCAGAAGAAAATGTTCCTATTATGTTCTAAAGGACTAAAGGCCAGAGCCCTAGCCAGGACACAAGATTGCAGGTGTGTAGTCTCCTCTGAAACCACTTGAGGTCTTCAGTTCTCTCACCCCTCCTTCCTCCCAGCCCTTTTTTACCTTTTCCTCCTGTTCTGATACATCAAGGCCTGTCTGAGGACCCTCCCCAGGAGCCCAGACCTTGATGTTCTCAGAGGGCACTTGCTGGCTGGACGCCTGACCTAGGAAGTTCTCCTCCTCTTCCTCTTCCTTTTTCACTGTCACTGGGCCCCAAGGGGCCAGGGCAATAGCCTCTCTCAATTCTGCAGTCATCTTCTCTGCTCAGCAGGGGAACTCCAATAGCTGGGGGCTGCCGAGCAGAAGTCAGGCCCCATCTAATCTTTAAGTTTCAACAGCTTCTTCTTGAGTTTCTCCCCTGGGCCAGGATGAGTATCGTCTACTGAGAAATCAGAAAACATTGTCAACGCTCAGCAGAGGTTTGCCTGGATGCCACTAAGCCCACTGACCAGTTTCCTCAGTGCCTGGGCAGTGGCCACTGCAGTACAGTACTCATAGGATGGAAAGAGTTGAACCGTGGACACATAATTTGTCACCTTACGAACAGCTTTATATAATAGCCATGGATGTCCCCCCCCCCAGCGATTACACAATCTATTTTTATTGTAAAAACTTGAAAAATACAGAAAATGACTAAGAAAAATCACCCTGGTCTACCTCCAAAGACATAACCCCTGTATATAGAATTAAAGATATTTCTTATAAGGGAAAACCTCCTACACTGACAATTATGACAATAAAATTTTTGTGTTTACAGGAATACATATTTTCACAATTATCACCATGTGTTTTTCAAAGAAACACTATTACAATACAGATTTATTTTTTATTGCCAAAGATACACAATAGCATGAACAAAAGAAATCTCAAGAAAAAGACTAGAAGTCTAGACACCAACATGTTAGGGACAGTCATTTCAGGGTCATAAGATTACAGGTAGTTTTGAGGTTCTTTTTGTCTGATTTTTACATTTCCCACTTCTTCCAAATGTCTAGTGAGGTCAAGTATTACTCTTAAGATAAAAAAATATTTTTTCTTGTTGCCATTCTTTATGCTTATCATATTTAGTCTACATAATAATGTATGGTATTGACTGTCATTCTCACTGAAAAAGGACCAAATAATACAGAAATATGTAGAATTAAATGTCTACACACACACACACACACACAGAATAATTATCAGTTATCAATCTTTTCTTGGCATTTCTCTCTCTATATATACATCTTCACACATATTACTTTCCCCAAAAATACATCAGCTTACACTTGTACATTGTTCAGCAACTTGTAGTGTTTGTTTTTTGAACTTCCATATTTCACAAGTCTTCAATAGATCTTTCAATGTAAGTACATACACAGGTACCTCATTCTGGCACAGTATCCTAAATCACGGCTACAATTTACCTAGCCACCCCCTATTTATGAACCATTGTTTTAGTAAAAATTTTATTTCCAGTTTTCCTTAATAATTATTGTTAAAAATTTTTCTGTTCAACTGGTTATTTCTTCTGCTGAATGACTCCTTTAGGATAGAGGAAGTACTGGTTCAAGGATTTTATATTTGACATGTATTCTAACATTGCTTTCTAAAAGGACCACACCAAATGACACCATCACTAACTTAACAATACCCTTTATCATAGCCAAACCAGCAGGTTTTTGTTATTTTTTTAAATTTGTGAGTTAAAATATCTATTTTAGCTGACCTTTAAGAGATTGAAAAATTCCTATTCCCCTTCAGATGTTTTATTAGAAAAAAAGTGCTAATTTTATTAAGTCCCTTTTTGAGGCTACTGAAGTGATTATATGCTTTTTCCTCTGTCAACTTACTGTATACAATGAATTTGAGAACGCAGTAGTTTCATTTCTGCAACAAATCTTAATTCTGGGTGATTATCCTTTCCATGGCTAGCTGAATCTACTGGGCGGGAAGGCCCTTAACACTCATTTCGTCTGTGTACTGAGCACGACGACCTACGGTGTTGTCATCGGACTGCTGATCAAACTCAAATCGGCCTCCAGACCCAGAGAGTACAGTCCTAAGAAGGGCTTCCTTTTCAATGTCCTGTCCCTATTTCCAAAGGTGGCAACCTGCCGCCTCAACCCCACGCCGCCCTGTTCCCGGGGGTGAGCCTGGACCCTGGGGCGGTCCGTGTCCAACTTCCCCCGGGGTCAGGCCCCCGTATGGCGGCAGCCAGCTTTCCGAGGTGCTGGGGTGCGGAGCTGCCCCTAGACAGACAGGGCTGAGTCCCCAAGAGAGAGATGCAGCGGGCCGCCCCTGGGATGACTCCTCTCGCGCCCCCGACGTTCGTGCCTATCCCCGTCAACCTTGCTCACCGTGCGCCGAGAAGAGATCCGGACAGAGCTCGCAGGCTCTGGAATAGAAGGCCAGCGATCCAGTTTACACCTACCGGCGGTGGGAGAACAATGACTGGACAGGAAGTGCCTCGAGATGGGCTTCCGGCTCCCAACTCGTCAGGATGTCCTCTCTAGGCATCTCGGAGGTGCTTTCTTCTCGATGGGTGTCCGATACCGCTCTAGACCAGGAATGGGGAGCAAGGGCGTCTAGGCTGAGGTTGCAGATGGACTGTGACACAGAGCCTCGGGGAAGATTTCTCCAGGCGGGGCAGTTAAGCGAGGAGCGCACCCGGGAGTCTGAAGCTATAAAGCACTAATCTGCAGAAAGCCCTGATAATTTTGGCCCAAACGTTTTATTTGAAAATATCAAACAGTAAAGTTTAAAGAATGTACAATATACCTGTATCCTTCATCTGGACTCAATAATTAACACTGGGTACGTTTGCCTTCTCTCTGTATACCACCTACTGAAAAACAATTTTTTGGAAGTTGTAAACATCAAAACACTCTATTCTAAATATTTCTATATGCATCCTTTAATAAGAATATTCTCCAAATTAACATCATTACAGGCAAGAAATTCAACGATCCCCTAATATATAATATCCAGCATTATTCAGATTTCCCCAACTGTCCTAAATAACTATATATATATATAGTTTTGTTTTTCCAAATAACACTGCATTTGGTTATGGCTCTTTAGTGTTTGGGTTTTTTTTTTTTACATTTTGAATTTATAAATTGACAGGAAGTTTCAAAGATACTTACCTTTCACCCAGATTCCTTCAGTGGGTACATCTTACATAATGACATAGTTTAAAAATTAGGAAATCGACACTGGTAAGACGTGTATGCTTGCGTGGCCTTTTATTACGTGTATTCGTGTAACTACCACCACAATCAAGATCACAATTGTTTCCACACCACGAAGACTTCCCTAGTCTACCCCTCCCTCTCCTGCCTGCCCCTCCCACCATCCCCAGCCTATGACAACCACTAATCTGTTTTTTCATCTCTATAGTTTCATCATTTTAGAATATGTAAATAAAAGGATGTCAATGCAATTATATAGTATATGACCTTTTTGAGACAGGATTTTTTTCACTCACACAGTTCTGAGATTCACTGATTCATTGCAGGTATCCATAGCTGATTCCCTTATTGCACAGTATTTAGTATCCCAGGGTATAGTTATTCCAGTTTTAACCACCTGTTAGAAGATATTTGGATTACTTAGCAATTTTGACTATTATGAATAAAACTGCTATGAACTGTCATGTACAGGTTGTTGTGTGAACTTAAGTTTTCATTTCTCTGGGATAAATGCTCAAGAGTGCACATAAGTCGATCATATGGTGTTTGATCTTACAAGAAACTGCCAATCTATTTTCCAGAGTGGCTGTACCATTTTCTGTTCCTAGCAACATATGGGATCGTTTCTCTGAACTTTGATAACACTATTTTTTAAAAGCTATTATGATAGGTATGCAGTGGTCTTTAACTTGCATTTCTCAAATGGCTAAAAATGTTGAACATCTTTCCATTTGCTTGCCATCTATACTTCAGTAAAATGTCTTCCCATGCCTTTTGCCTATTTATAAAAAATGAATCTTATTAAGAAACCTTCATGTAATTTGAGAAATCTTTATATAGTACAGATGCAAATTCTGTGCTGATACATGATTTGCAAATATTTCCTCCCAGTCTGTAATGTTTTATTATCCTCTGAAAAGTCTTTTGCAGAGCAGTTATACTTCTGCTGAGGTCCAGTTGATCACTTTTTTCTTTTATAGAGAATGCTTTTGATATGAGTCTGAGTTCAGTTAGTCCTACTCCCTTATTTATTTACAGCCTATGGATATCCAATTGCTCCAGGAGCATTTGTTGAAAATACCATCCCTCCTCTACTGAATTGCTTTTGTACTTTTGTCAAAAATCAATAAGGCATTTGTGTTAATCTATCTCTGGGTCTTAATATATTTTAAAAACAACCCCACTCATCTACTTTCTGTGTTTCATTATGGGGAATTTCATATATGTACAAAAGCAGAGAACAGTACAATGAATTCTCAGTACACATCCAGCTTCAACAATTGTCACCCCTCCCTTCTTCACCATATCTTTTTGAAGAATCCAGTGCAGTTTTCTTATACAATATCCCACATTCTGAATTTCTGACGGTGTCAATTATCTTGTTCCTCTGCCTCCTGTATGTCCTGTAAACTAGCAATCAGATCTAAGAAACTTGATAAATTGTTATACTTTTGGCTTGTTATATCACCTGAGGAAGCACATGATGTGTGTTCTCAGTCTTAGTGATGTTACATTTTGTTAACTAGTTAAAAGATAAATGGCATCTTTCTCCACTATTAAAGTACATCTTTCCCTTTGCAATTATTGTGCAATCTGGGGTGATTCTTCTACAGCAGGTACATAAAACATCTTCATATTCATTACCTCATCACAACTTTGTGAGGTAGATATTCTCCCTGTTTAACCGATCAGAAAACAAAGGCTCCAAGAAATGTAGGCATTTGTCCAAGCAAAGTGGCAGAATCTGACTCATACCCAGTCTTTAGACTTTAAACCTGGGACCCCATTTCCAGTTTTCACTCTTGGGTACCTTTCAGTCTAATGAGGTACCTTTCAGTCTAATGAGGAATCAACCCTCAAGGAACTTCGGGGTTGAATTAATGACCTTTATTATAATCAATACACCACTTCAACACAATCAGCAACAGAAAACACCATCCTGATATTAAGGTATTTATAGTCCAGCTGCAAAATTGGAGTTTTGAGAATTACAATATAAAATTAGCAACTCAAGAATATAGTATGAATGAAATCTACAAATGTACATAAGGGCATAGATTGAATGAATGATTGGTTCACATGGAGTAACTGACCTGACCAACCAGAGGTGGATTCTGAATTGGTTTAATCAGAACTTGAAGGGACTGGCTCTGTGTGAAAAACTTACATAGTAACTTAAGTGCTGGGCCAGAATGGTGTTCCTTAAGTAGCAAGTTACCATATGTCAGCAAAGGTAAAATGTTGATTACAACTGAAAATGACAGTGGCAGGATCATCAGCTCAGGAGGTGGTGTTAAGGATTTTTCCCTATGAATAAGGCAACATAGGATCATCCTTTCATTTTGACACTCTACATCTCTAGGTTTCAAAGTCAAAAGTTGAAAAATAAATTTTCCTTGGCAACAATGTTGGCAGTTGGACATATTATTTTTCCATAATAAATATTTTTCCACTAAAACAAACCAGGCATATTATCTATTAATTCCCTTAAACATTTTTAAAGCTACAGGTTTAAAAAGATTTCTTTGAATAGTAAATTCCAAAGTCAGCTACCCACCATACTTCCTCTTATAAAAATGAGTATCTTTTGAGGCTGGCATCCTTATACTGACTTAATGAATCCTTATATTACATTATATCATATTCTAGATTTTGACCTTACCTCTTTTTCCAACTTTACTGACAACTAAATTATTTCACAAAGTCCTTTCACAAATACCCTTTCATTTAATCCTCACAACAGCCCTGTGAGATGGGCATTATGTCAACATTTGACTGAGGAAATGAAGCTCAGAGACTGACCTAAACATATGACATAGCTTAGTAAAAATAGCCAAGACCTAAACCTAGGTCTTCTAATTTCAAATCCACACCTCTTCTTAAAGGTCCTCAAACAAAAGTCTTGCCCACCAAACTCCATGTCCAACTCATCTCGAACATACATACTGTCTATATACTTTCTATAGCAGTGATGCTATCTTTACAATATACACATTTCCAGAAAAAAATGTCCACTTTTTAATACAAAGATATTTTTACTGTCATATATAACTACATCATTACATCTTATAAAACATAAACCCAGCTTCTTCAGAGTCCTCAGTTGTTTGAAGGTCCCTTTCTAGCGTCATAACAAACAGCCTGAGAGTATCCTTTAACTAGAATTTGCAGATAATGTTTTTGTAGTCTTGAAAGTCTATATTAACTTTCTTCTACATGCAACTCACTTGTCAACAAAAGGGTCAACCATGGGTTTTTTTCCCTATGAGAACTATATACTGCCATTTCTTCAACAGTTACTTAAGTAGGCAGGGATTCTATTCTATTTTACATATGACACTATTTCTGAATCTCTATCTTGGACTTGGCATTCCTCCACAGTATGGGTTTTTTGTTGAAGATGAAGGTTTGAAGTCTGACAGAATTCTTTTTCAGACTCATCACAGTTACAGAATTTTTCATCTGTATGAATTTTCTGATGTACAGTAAGGTTTTTCCTTTGCCTAAAAACTTTACTACAATCATTACACCCATATGGTTTCTCCCCAGTGTGGATTCTCTGATGGCCAACTAAATTCCTCTTAGAAGTAAAAGATTTTCTACATTTCTCACATTCATATGGTTTCTCCCCAGTGTGCATCCTCTGATGTACAACAAGGTTTTTATTCTGACTGAAGTCTTTTCCACACTCATTACATTTATAAGGTTTCTCTCCAGTGTGGATTCTTTGATGCACCATAAGATTTCTACTAGAGGTAAGAACTTTCCTACATATATGACATTCATAGGTTTTTTCCCCATTGTGAATTCTTTGATGTTCAATAAGGTTTCTGTTGTAAGTAAAGCCCTTCCCACACTCATTACATGCATAGGGCTTCTCACCAGTGTGGATTCTCTGATGGGCTATAAGGTTTGAGCGGTAACTGAAGACTTTCCCACAGTCATTGCATTTATAAGATTTTTCCCTTGTGTGAATCCTCTGATGTCCAATGAGGCTTTTCTTCAGAATGAAGCATTTACCACACTCATTACACTCATAGGGTTTCTCACCACTGTGGATTCTCTTATGTTCAATGAGGTTTCTGTTAGAACTGAAAGCTCTTCCACACTCTCCACATTCAAAGGGCTTTTCCCCAGTGTGGATTCTCCGATGTACAAGCAGGCTTGAATTGTAACTGAAAGCCTTTCCACAATCCTCACATTTGTAGGCTTTCTCCTGTGTATGGAGTTTTTGATGGACCATGAAACTTTTGCTCATAATGAAGGTTTTCCCGCACTCTCGACATTCATAAGGCTTCTCCCCATTGTGGAGTCTCTCATGGTCAATGAGGTTTCTGTTAGAACCAAAGACCTTGCCACAGTCTTTACATTCATAGAGATTCTCTCCAGTGTGGAACCTCTGGTGTAAAATGAGGCTCTTCTTCAAAATGAAAACTTTCCCACATTCATTACATTCATAGGGCTTCTCTCCATTGTGGAGTCTCTGATGGTCAAAAAGGTAAGCACTCTGAGTGAAGGCTTTCCCACATTCAGTACATTTATAAGGCTTCTCTCTGCTATGCATCCTCTTATGGTCAATGAGGTTTGACTTGGAATTGAAAATCTTCCCACATTTTTTACAGCCAAAGGTCTTCTTTTCTGTATGTACTCTCTGGTGTAAAAGGAGGCTTTTGCTTCTAATGAACACTTTTCCACATTCTTTACATTTGTATGGGTTCTCTGCACTGTGGAGTCGCTGATGGTCAACAAGGTAAGTGGTCTGAGCAAAGGTTTTTCCACATTCATCACATTTATAGGGTTTTTCCCCAGAGTGAATTCTCTGGTGTAAAATGAGGCTCTTCTTCAGAATGAAAGCTTTCTGACACTTGTTACATTTATAAGGTTCTTCCCCTTTGTGGAGCCGCTGATGGTCAATGAGATAAGCATTCTGAGAGAAAACTTTCCCACACTCATTACATTTATAAGGTCTCTCCCCAGAATGGCGCCTTAAATGTATAATAAGGCCTGAGTGCCTATAGAAGCCCTTTCCACACTCCTTACACTTATAAGGTTTCTCCCCGGTATGGATTCTTTGATGGTTTAGAAGATAAGCACTTTGAGAGAAGGCTTTCCCACATTCATTACACTTGTAAGGTTTCTCCCCAGAATGGTTCCGTAAATGCATTAAAAGGCTTGAGCGCTGAATAAAGCCTTTTCCACACTCCTTACATTTATGAGGTTTCTCACCAGTATGGATTCTCCGATGGTTTATAAGATGGGAGATTTTATTGAAATGTTTACAGCATATATCACATTTGTAAAACTTTTTTCCTTCAGAACCTATTAAATTTTCAGAAAGAGCTGAACCTAAAGTAAAGCTTTCTCCAAATTCTTTCCACTTTTGGCTTTGCTTTTCTGGTTGAGCTCCTTTCTTCTTGTCTCCTTCACAGAGGGAACCTTTCTTCAGCGTATCTCTTTCCCCTATTTCATTTCCCCAGTGATTTACCAAAACTTTCCATTCATATTCTTCCTCCAAATGAAGGACTTGGGGAATACCTCCTTGAAGTCTTTTTGATGTTCCTTTCTGAGAATCTGCTCTTTGAGAAATACTTGGCTTTGATGTCACCTCCTCATTCTCAGTCATGGTCTCCCATTCTAGTAAAAGGAATTAAAAATGTAAATGTTACCACATCCCTGTGTTAGTGCAAAATCTTCAAATGACTTTAAAATAAGCTAATAGGGAACACTTACATAAATACAAAAAAATAAACTTTTTACTAAATGAAGGTACAAAGCAGAATGAAACACTGACAGAATGTTGTAAATAGATTGACACAATTCACTCTGACTCTGACTCTTCAAAGCTCTTTGTCTTCAGAGCGCAGATGGGAAAATAGAAATGTTGAAAAAAACAGATGCAAGGAAAAACCAGATAGAGAACATGGGATCCTATGCAGGTGATTCAGATCTGAGGCTCAAGAACTGGGATGGAATAAAGAATCATTTGGCTCATAAAGAACTATCTTTTTGTTTTCTTCATGCTAGCAAGGGAACTGTAATGGAGAGAAAATATTCTTAAGGACTCTGAAAAGGCAATCTTTTAATTTCTGGAGAGTCAAATGCGTCAATACTTTTTAGTTACTTGAAAGCAATTCATCTACAGGAAAAAAATCCATTTAAAAGCATCTTAATGCTGAGAATTCATATATAACTCTCACTATTCTAAAATTGAGAAATGGAAATTTAAAAATTCATTTCACAAAAACATCAGGTCTGGGTTAGAAACTCTCAGTTAGACACAAAAGAAGAAATACAGACTGAAAAGAAAAGGTATAGAGACAAATTTTAAAACTATGATAGCATCTATAAAATGAGGCTGAACTAGTAAACCGCCAAGGTCCCTTTCTTCTTTCTCAGATATTGTAACATGTGAAATTATTTTTTTTTTGAAAATCCATTGGAAACTTACTTTTACCATCCAAATGTGAAAAAAATTATGAACTAGTTCCCCAAATTAGCTAAAAAGTAAAATTATGTAATAACAGTAACATTATCTCCTGTTTGAGAATAACAACACTGTTCTTCTACCTAAACAGCAAAACATAGGAAAGGAGTATACCTATTTTATTTCTTCTTTAAGTTTATGAGAGTACAAGAATGGAAAAAATTTGATAAATGTTAACTTTAACTATATTCTTAGGTCAGGTCCTCGTGTCTCATCAACTGCCCCTGTTTCCAGGATTTAGTCAGGATTGCCAAACACCCTACCCTACTTCACCTGGCATGTATCCTGACCCTACCCAAAATTGGCACTCCAGTTTCTCTATCCACAGTGTTTGGATCAAGGACTGGTTTTTCAATTTAAGAATGAAACTGGTAGAAAGGAAGGATCTCTTTGAAATACAAGTGTTTTAAGGAAGTAGTTTTAATGAAGTAGAAGTGTTGCAAGTGGTTGAGAGGGAAAATGTTTAAGAAATGAAATGAGCAAGTTTTGTACAGTTGCCCTTGAACAGCACAGATTTGATCTGCACAAGACATTTATACACAGGTTTTTTTCAATAAATATATTGGCATTTTTTTTGAGATGTGCAACAATTTGTAAAAACAGTTCCTTTCCTCTAGCTTACTGCATTATAAGAATACAGCATACAACTCACATAACATACATGTGTTAATTGACTTATCAGTAAGGCTTCCAGTCAACAGTAAGCAATTAGTAGTTAAGTTTTTGGGGAGTCAAAGTTTATATGGATTTTTTTTTACTGTGAAGGGGTTAGTACCCCTAACCCTTGCTTCAAGGATCAAATGTACACACAGTAGCTAATTAGATGGCTACACTATCTCAAATTTTAGTTTAGGAATCAGACAATATATGGGCCTATTGAGCTTTAGGGGACTTAGTGAAAAAAAATGTCAGAATAATAAAGGAAGCTAGTTATTTTGTGCAATCTTTGATTAAGCCTGCAAGAAACAGGCTTCCCTATCTTCATCCTCTCCATTCTTTTAATGCATTTCCACTCCACTGTCAATTATCTTTCTGATAGGTAAGTTTGATCATGTTACTCAACTGCTCAAAACAACTGGCTCTTCATTGACTACAGAATAAAGCACAAATGACCAGCAGGGCCCAAGACACGCTCTCACCCACTGTCTGCCTACTTTCTGGTTTTATTTCTTGTCAGTATCCTTTATGACCTTAGACTCTAGCTAGAGAACTACCTGCAGATGCCCAAACATGTTGTTTTTGCTTGCTCCTCTATCATTGTCCATGCCTTTTCCTCTTCCTGAATTGCTTTTCCTCTTCCCAACTTACTATAAGCATTGTACTTACACCCTTAAAAACTAAGCTCAAAAGTCACCCCCTCTGAATCTACAGATTCAATACAATCCCTATCAAAACACCAATGGCATTTTCCACAGAACTAGAACAAATAACCCTAAAATTTGTATGGAACCACAAAAAACCCAGAGCAATCTGAAGAAGAAAACAAAGCGGAAGGTATTGTGAATACCGGTTTCAAACTATACTACAAAGCTATAATGATCAAAACAGTATGGCACAAGCACAAAAACAGATACACAGATCAACAGGGCAGAACAGAGTGCCTAGAAATAAACCCATGCTTATATTGTCAATTGATCGACAACAAAGGAGGCAAGAACATACAATGGGTAAAAGTCTAATAAACAGTGTTCAGAAAACTGGACAGCTATATACAACAGACTAAAACTGGATCACTTTCTTACACCATACACAAAAATAAACTTGAAACAGATTAAAGATCTAACTGTAAGACCTGATACCATAATACTCCTTAAAGAAAATACAGGAAGTAACTCTTACTGTCCTGAGCAATTTTTTTCTGAATATGTCTACTCAGGCAAGGGCAACAAAAGCAAAAATAAACAAGTGGGACTATATCAAACTAAAGGCTTCTGCACAGTGAAGGAAAGCATCAACAAAATGAAAAGGCAACCTATGGAATGGAAGAAAATCTTTTCAAAAGATATAACCAAAAAGGGATTTATATCCAAAATACATAAAGTGCTCATACAACTCAACACCAAAAACACCAATCCAATTAAATGGGCAAAGAACCTGAATAGACATCTTTCCAAAGAAGACAGATGGCCAAAAGACATATGAAAAGACGCTCCACATCACTAATCATCAGGGAAATGCAAATCAAAACCACAATGAGGTATCACCTCACACTAGTCAGAATGGTTAGGATCAAGA